TGTGGGCTCCCTCAGAGCCTTGCACATCTGGGGATGGGAGCTCCCTGTTTTCTGGTGCCTTTGGCCGTCACTGGCCATGTGACGTTGGACACACTGAGAGGTGGGTGTAAGGACTAGGTTAATGAGCAGGAGAGAGGCAGTCTTGCCACATGGGAGGCCATTTCTGCAGAATGGGGCCACCAATGTGGTGGAGACACAGGGCTGTGGGGGCTGTCACAGGAAGAGCTGTCCAGGTTAGTGGGCTTTGGGGAGCAAGGGCTGGCCGTTGCCATTGTCAGTAGTGAATAGGGGGCCAGGCAGCCAGGTGGGAGTAGCTAGGCTGGCCTGGGGCTTTCATGGTGCAGTGTTCCAAGTAAGGGGTGGCCGTACCTAGCATCTAAGCAGGAAAGCAGAAGCAATTTGGCCAGCCTAGATGACCCAGACCGCATGTCTGTCTTGTTCTATAGAGAGTCTGAGGCCAGCCCAGGTTGAAGGGGAAGGGAAAAAGACCCTACTTCTTGGTGGGAGGAGTATGGCCGCCATCTTTGGGGGCTGTACCAGACAGGGATACGACATGTCAGATTTGTGGTAAAAGGTCACACACACACACACACACACACACACACATGAGGAAGACTTAGACACAAATACATTAATACTTTTCCCTCTTGATAATCTTGTTTTCCTCATATCCACCCCTGGGCCTAAGTGGCAGGTAGGTAGCTGCTTCTTGCAGCCTAATCCTCTTCTAACCAGATCTCCACTGGCAAGAGGAGATGGCAGCTGTCTTCCCTTCTGTTTGAGGATGCCACATCTGGTTAGGGGCGGCTGAATTCACTCTTGGAGCCTTCTCTCTCTCTCTCTGTCTCGCATCCCTGCTCAGCTGCTGCACTTCAAGTACACAGAATGTCCAGTCCTGCCAACAGAGCCTTCAAAGCAAAGAGAAATTGCTGATCCTCTAAAAAGCCTGGGGTTTGATGAAGTGCTAAGTTCTGAGTGCCTCCCTTATACTACAATTTCCAGATCAAAGTCAAATCATTTCTCGGAAGTGGGGCCCCACTTCTGAGCTATTTTGAGCAAAGCACTTATTTAAAGAAGCCATCATTTCTCTGCCCAGTCTCTTTGGTTCAACAATTCCTTTGTAGACTTTGGTGCGTATTTAGACTGGATATACTTGGACACGGTTCTTTAAGATTCACATTGGATCACTGGGACCCTGATCAAAACTATGTTGTGTAGCGGCCCTCAACTGTTTGAGTTGCCATTACAGCTGGTGGCACCAGGCCGTCTACACCACTGTTGCCCAGTGTGACTTCAGATCCAACCAGGTCTGTTGTGCAGTTGTCAGCCTGTGAGTCAGGTCACCAGGTGGAAATCCCAGCTCCAGACGTCCTGATGGATAAGTGACCCAGGGCATGTCTCACCAACCTCCTTCTCCATCTGTAGAATGCAGACCGTAATGAACGGTCTGACCCATAGGCTGCACGCGGGATTCTCCATTTCTTTGTAACCACAGTAACCAACACAGCCAGATACCTGTCCTTGGGTTTTATTTCTGGTAGCACTGAATCTCCAAGCCTCCTATCCTATGCTGTGACTTAAACTTGGAGTCCTTTGTGGCTTTCACCAGCTCACCTCTGCGATGTGGAGAGGATGAACGCTGCAACTTTCACAGTGCTGTCCTGCTGTTTGCTCTTTAGTGCCGTTGAGTCGATTCTGACCCATAGCGACCCTGTAAAGGGTTTCTGAGGAGCAGCTGGTGAGCTTGAACCACCGACCTTGCAGTTCAAACGGCTTTGCAGTCTGATGCATTAACCCACATTACCACACCCCTAGGACCTACAATTTTTACAGAAAAAAGCAATGATTTCATGCTTACCCTCACAACCATTTTAGCCTGTTAGCGAGAATCCATGCAGAGTGCTGATGTTTGTAAAGACTTCCTAAATGGGAGAACTATGTTTGAGTCTGTGGAGTCAGCACAGGCTTAGACGATTCTGCCCAGCGATAGCATTGATGCCGTGACACAAAGTGCTGCTCTGATAGACACCTGGTGGAACTATAATCAGAGTAAGCCCCAGAAAGCAAATCTGGTTCTTTGCTTTCTGAAAAGGCTTCAGGCTTTTTAATTTTAACTTAGTAATATCCCTTAGGACTCTCTCTGAAGAAATTAGAGGAGTTGTGGCGTGGCGCTGTAGGGTAAACACTGGACCACAAGGTCGGTTTGCAGCATGAGGTCGGTGGTTCAAACCCACCAGCTGCTCCTTGGAAACACTCCCTATACAGGGTATATACAACAACAACAAAAACGTATGTTGTCATAGCCAGAATTATAATAACGAAAATCAGAAGTACTACATTGTACCATAATAAAAAAATGTTTAAGTAGAATGGTAAGACAGCTACGTAATGAAGTGTTTTGCATGCAATAAAAATAATGGTTATCACACATCACCGATGAGGGAAAGTGGGGTAAAAGCAGCAATGAAGCGGCAAGCTAAGCCCTACAATGCTCAGTGGACTTCTGTGGACCCAGTTGGGGACCCGGTTGGCAAGCAATGTGAAGAGACCTGGGGACTCTTGGGCCCAGAGTCAGTGGTGTGGCCACGAAGGACTCGAGAGGAGAGTGGAGC